AGTTGCACCAAACATACACCTCGTGATCCAGTCGTTCGCCTCAGTTTTCAAGATTTTCCAAACTTACAAACTTGAGTAGCTGTTGTCAAGTGTTGTCTTTGCCTCAAAACAGCAATACCAACCTGCATTAGAACATTCTAAGTTACCACAATTGTTTTTTCTTGCTCCGATTTAGATCTTCTTAAGGTTGCCAGACGTCATCACCCCATATAGGAACTGTCGAACTGGTTAGGAATAGGTTACCGACTTTCCCACTTTTTTAGTTGTGCATAAATTGCCAAATTATTATTCACTATTATCTAGGACTTCGTCCAAATATGAAAGTATTTTGGCAGAAAAATGTTCAGCAGACGCTAGCGAGTACCGACCAACCTCATGCCTGTCGAAATCCGCCTAGTAAGCACAATAAAAAAAAAACGCATGAGGAGATGAAAATTCCGCCTTTGTATACGACTTCTCGTCTCCCCACCACCTTCCACTGGCGTGTGCCCGTGAGTGCTGGAGGGAGGAGGGGGCGAGAGGCGGTGGGCTCGGGGCGCAGACAAGAGGTAAACCTTTCTACAAGTCCCATTAGATGTGTACCCATTCCACTGCTTCCAGACACTGCTCTACATTCTATGTGTGAAAGTGATTGTATTCTTTTTGTCACAAGGACGCCATCCCTAAATTTTCACATACCTTTGACGTCTTACCCGTGCAAAACGCCAGATGCACAAATTAGTTTATGAAAGAGGCAGTAATCTGTTTGATGCGGGAGCGATCTGTTCGGTGATTGATGCGTGAGAGAGACCGCGGCAGAAGATTTTACCTCTCTCAAAGGCTGGAGGTCGTGGGAGCCGTTGAAGAAGGTACTGCGCCCTCGGCCTTGTAATCGGGTCCTGTGCTGTTGGGTAAAATTACTAACTGCATCACCAAGGCGAAACCAGCAGAAGAGAAGTGAATGCCTCCATAGTAATTCAATTTACTGACAACGATGACTCTAAAAATTTTCCAACTCCTCAGATATTGAGAAAATATTTGAAAATAAGCACACCTTTCGGAGCATATTACAGAAGGTAGACTGGAATGTGACAATTGCTTCTACTCATTGGATGCGTGCTACTTCAAAATAAAGGGGAATTTGAAAAGTTGATTTATGAAAGTCCCTTTAAAAAAGGTAGAATGCGAAGCATTAAATGCATTTCATTCACCACCGATTTTCCACGCTCACTGGAGTGGTAGAAGCCACGATCGTTCCCATCAAACTTGGTTGCCAATGTGCTTCGGTCTTTAAGGAAAAGAAAAGAGAATTTGGACGTTCTTGGGACTGTGTTTCCCTCCACCGAGTTTTCTTTGTAGTACTTACAACGAGAATTTGCTTTTCTTATGACTTAAATTCGCACAAATTTTTAGAAACTACTCAACCGGATGAGCAAGTGAATAAAATCTGGCTGTGACGCTTTGAGTGACCGACGAGGTGTTAATGAGGCGCCCCCAGCGCCTATCACCGACATTTTCCGTTAAAATCCTACTGACATTTTGTATGATAAAGGAGTAGATGTGGAGGTCTATCAGCGGCTCCTCAATTCTAGAATGAGCTTTTTTATTGGCAAAATAAATTAAGAAGGGTGTGATCTTCAATGCGCACGGAGACTCACCTTCACCAACCGCTCCACCGTATGTGTGCGATTGTGTGAGACGCGCGGTGAAAGCAGGCTTGTGTGGGAAATCAGACTTCATTTTCTTCTTCTTTGCATCCAAGGCATCCGTCTGGTTCCACTAACTTCTAGGTCGGCAAGTTGAACCGATTCCGACAGTTCAGTAATTACTTAGCTCCTTCACCTACAGGTTCTACTGAGGAGAGGTGTTGCGACTCTAGGCTCAGTCTCTTAACTACGGCAGAACCAAGCACAAATTAACGCCGGTTCAAGGGTATCGCTGTTCAACTACAAGTCTGATGTATTGCTGGTATTATGCTCATCGTTCTCGACTTTTCTTTCCTCACTTTTGTCAACTAGCCGCTTGTGTATTTTATGCTGAGAGAGTGAGAACAATGCGTGGCATCTTTACGGCGCAACCCAATGCAGCAAAAGGAACATACAAAAAAAGATGTAGATTAAAATAAAAGCCATTATAGGATAAAAAATCTAGAATATGATAATGAAACTTTTGATTATGACAGTAGCAGTATCACAGCCAATGTGTTGATGATATGGAGGGGAATACAATGGGTTCAGATTCACCAGACAGGACAGACACGTTGAACAACTGCATTAACTTCCATTGAAGACTCCAGAGCCCCAGAGAATGACAAGAAGGATAACCAGCACAATTATAAAAATGGCGCCAAACAGAAGAAGACGCATTCGACAGTTCTCCCAATAAGTCTTCTCTTTCACCCTTTTTGCTGTGCTTTGGAACATCTGTGCCTGGAAATTTGATAAGAACAAATTGAAAGGTCTTCCCGTTATAAACAGACTTGTCTTGGATAAAATTGAAATCAGATAGCTCTCCACTTTAAGAATAAAAAAGAAGTAGATGCCTGATGTAACTTTTCCAGTAGATGGAAACTCAAAACTAGTGCCTTCCACCCACCAGTTCTTGATGAAAGGTCTAAGATTAATGTTTCATTGGAAAGAACTGAGTATTTATTCCACAATGACAAAATCGCTAGCATCAATTTGTCCAAAATATCTTGGCGTTATGTAAACTAGATGATATCAGCTGGCAGAAACATTACTAAAGAAAGGCGTTACAGACTTACGTCAGCCTCAAATTGCTCTGTTTTATCAAAGAGATCATCCAGTTTATTCCCGCGTTCGTTGAGATCGACGATATTTTGGTGCATCAGCATAGAGACGTCAGCTACTTGACCGTGTAGTTGCATTAAACGAGTCCTATCTTGGTTGCTGAATTGAACCTAGTTAGTCAAATAAACTAGGTTTAGGATATAAAAGGTATTTCTGTAGAGTCCTCTGTGCTAAACTGAGTACAGTCTTTCATTTTGTTTTAGTCTGCGTAAAACATGGTTGTGGAGACTTAAAAGAGGACTCATGTTGATTGTTTGTGGCTTTTCAACTACCTATCAAGCCTAAAGAAGCGCATATTAAAAAATTTTGGGTTCATGCAATGACGTACCATCTCGTCTGAAAGTATCCGCCCAAAATCAACCTGATGGCAGTATTCGGAACCGGATTGGGCTTCGAGAACTCTTGATGGGTCGGCTGTGAAAAGGGCTTGTAACTAAAAAAAGACATTTCCGAAACTTAAGACGTCAGGTTCAAGCACAGCTTACATGGCGGTAATGCATAACTAAGAAGTGACACACCAGAAAATAGCAAAAATCAAAGCCAAATAGCATTAAAGGACAAGAATGGATATAAATTGATAAATCCACCTACTTTTCGTAGAAAATTAAGGGTTTGTTGCTGGGATGCAGCGGCCTCGCTAACAGCAATGTACGATATTCCATTCGAGTTATAGCAGTTATAAGTGCATCTATAGGAACGATACGATCGAACGCTGAGGCTTACGGTCCAAGAGGAAATGTCACATATTCTTGAATGGAACTCTCTAACTGCTGTCGAACATCTTTACTATAGTCTACACTTCCGACGCTTTGTTCACAAAGCACGCGTGGTCCGCAGGCAATTGCAGCATATACAATACTCATAACGCAAAACACTACAGAGAGCCCACAACACTTCCCTACCACTGGTATTCAAAAACATGTAGCTTGTTTGGCGCGTATAAACAAATATGCTCAAGGCAATGTTTACGCTACGGCTTAATCATATCCTCGCCTGCAGTAAAATGGGCATTTCTTTTAATTGCTTTTAGCTGAACAATAAGTGTACGAGTATTTTGCTCGATGTTGCTTGTGCTAAATTGGTGCGACATTTTATTTGTATTTTTGTTTTCCTGTATAAAACATGTTAAAACCATCCCTTCTAAGGCTATAAAACTCAATTTGTTACAGAATTTTAGCATGTGTTGAATAGCCACGTAAGGAACGCTGATAATCACAAACATTTTACCTGATTTTTAAAGTACGAACGTTTTCTAATCTCATATTAGTACTATACTGCCTGAAAATAGTAAGCGCTTAAGTACTGTATTAGAAAGCATTAAACTTGGCCAAATGCGTAATAACAGGCAGAATATGTAATATTTTGTTTGTATGGCCGACTAATGGTTGGCGGACACTTTGGTACCCATGTAACTATTGCACTTGTAAGCTAGTCTTCTGGCCACGCCCAGGATTAATTTTCTTCTAAGCCTGGAATACATGTATTGACCCCAACACAACGCCTTCCTGAACCTGGTGGGAAATCTCGGGACGCTACAAAATGTGTAGAAGCTAGGCAAAACCAAGATGGTTGTTAAAGCAACCGTCATTAATGCAGGCAGCCATTTAAACAAAGCATTATACCATCTGTTGTATGGTCCTAAATGTTGTACAATCACCCTTCTCTCAGGCTCATCTACTTCCGTAATCACATGTGGGTGATCGCTTTCAGAATCTTTATTGTACATCAGTTACTGAGTTAAGAGAAATTTAGTCACGGCTTAAATATGATTATAGCATTACCCTACGGAAGAATCTGTATAGTTCTCTACTGCTAGATTCGTGTTGAATGACTGCCTCACGCCCCTAAGACCATTTTAAACTAGGGTAAGGTGCCTTGCGAACTATTCTGGATAGAAGACGCCATGTTGGGCAGAATGCATGTATTCTAAGGGAATAAGAATGAGTGGGTCTTGGCATAGCCCGAAGGGCAGCCCATGCGTACAAGGTCGAAACGAGTATCCAAGTCACGGCATACACCAGGCGGTCACATATATAGAGCATTGCAATGTTAGCGTGCATTCCACCAAAACTTTCCATTTCGTAATAGATACAATGAGAATTAGCTAAGTACTAATATATTAAGTAAAAAGGAAATAAATAGACTTTTGGCAAGATTCGTAGACCAAAGTGACCTTCACGCATAGCAGCAATCAAATGGACAAAGTAGTGCACCCATTCTAAGCATTATATCGTTTTAAGGAAAGGATGGTAACAACGTACTTAAAGACAATGGCGTGTATAACAGTAAAACTGAGAAAGATCGAAATCTTCTATCAATCCGAATCCTGTTTTGAACAAATTTCTATGCACTGCACTTTCGTTCTTTGTTGAGCGATTTCCAGCAGCGCTTCCTTTGGATTTCCAGAATTTTGCCTGATTGATCCGGCTCAAGTAGTATTAGACTAAGATTACCAAACGATTGTTTGAGTAAACTCGGTCGAACCGCATGTTTCCCAGTTAAATGAGGGCTTAGCCCTTGAATTCGTTCCTTTTTTTCCACTATAAGAACAAAGAGCTTATTGGTGTAATTTTGAATAGGATCCATTGTTAATGGCATGCCTGTAGGTCCCCGAGACCTCTCACTGGGTAGAAGAAGGCATTAGGTTGGGTCGAATACATGTATTCTAGGAGGATAAAAGAGGTTGGGCTTTGGCTTGATCTGAAGGCCAGCCAACAGGTACAAGGACAAGACAAGTGTCAAAGTACGCACCGGACATACAGGCGATCACATAAACAATGTATAACAATGCCACTTAAACGTCCATTACATGGCGGATAGACGTTATCCTAGTTTCTTAACCCCCTTCTTGAGCTCGTTGATTTCTGTCACCAAATTCTGAATTGTCACATTGGTCTAAAACAAAACAAAGCTGATTAGCTGAAATCCTTCCCATCCTCTCCTCTTTGCTATGAGTTCTACTAGTATGCAAGGATAACATGATAGCAGGACGTCTGATGACGCAACAAGACACATCTTGAGATCTCAAAGCTCACGTAATAGTTGACACTCCCCTAGGATAAAGAAAGATCCCGTAGTTAACTCGTTTCCTAAGCTGCGCTGCAGTGTACAACAGCAGTTGGAATTTGCACTAGCAACTATCTTGAGTTGTGGGAGAGGGGAGGGGCTGACCTGCAAAGACTTTGTAGAAATTGAGAATCCAAAGTGGACTGCTGCTAACACTATCAAATATCCGATTAGATGAGCAGATGAACTGTAAATCATTGGCAAAGTATAAGGTAAAAGTGAATTCGGATGACGCTCTAGAACAGTCTTCGACAGTGTTAAATCGCAGAACTTCAGCTAGTAGTGCCACGCATATTAATCCCGTCAAATGCGTTGTCTTCGTTTAGTGCCACGAATGTCACAAGTATGGCAAGTGACTGCAGGACGTCTGTTTAAAGCGAACTCATTAAACGTCAGCGAGACACACCGCTTCTATGTTTTATACAAACTTTCTACTATGTATTTATTAGTAGCAGTTATATCGTCTTAAAAGTGGCTGAGTTAGTTACATTACATTACATTTCTGCGGTGTAATCTCGCAAATTGGCTGGCTTCTGAACTAGTCTAAAATGGGGTAGTCCAGTAGGATTAAGAGCGAATAGTTTCCTTGACTCAACAACCGTAAGTCGTTAGTACTGGGAAGATATTACTCTGAATGTCACAGTGAGAAATCAAAACGGCGCATGAGCTTCCGCCACAAAATCCGCGCAAAACTGCCAGATGTCGTCCCTTTCAGGACTTTCTCAAGCCTCCTTTGTGCCTCTCGATGGCAATACCCCTAAATACACGTGCTTTTGAAGCACATAAGTCCACTTTTAATCGTACATTACCAGTGGCCTTAGCGGCTATTATAAATAGACGAGAGCGATTCATCAAAATCGTAATTAAGGTGAAAGGGATAGCGTATTCGAAGAATTAAGACCACACAATATTCAGCGAATAGAACATCGGATAACACTACCACACTTGCTTTAAGAAGTGAAATCGACCACCTTAGGAGCTTGAGACCAACAGAGCACCTCATTCGGAATCAACAGGGAGACTATCCGTCATTCGAGATTTGGTGCTTAAGGTTAGCCTTAGTCTCGTAGCTAAGGACAGACCGTTCACAAAATATTCTCAACAATGGCATAGTATGTGGATCGGACACACAGGGTAGGCGAACTATCAAGTCGCACTGATGTACTGTTCCTTAGGGAAGTGCAGTATTAGTCAGGGCAGTCACGGCAACAGTTGAGTGCCATTCTTTTTTACTTGTAGCCACGATCCCCCTCACATTCTGAAAGAACTCGAGTCGTCGATTAGAACTCTTTTTCTTCTTTGAAGGAATGGTGCAATCTTAATTATTTGTCGGGCTGATGTTAGCCAAGAGGCAGCCAGAGGTTAGTCTCCCCGAATGACAATAGACTATGATGAATTAAAAATTAAATTAAATTAAAATAAAAATAAGTGCTTTTACTTGTGATAAAGTCGACTTTTCATTTACGAACAGGTGAGAGCGTAGTGTTGCCTTAGGCGAAATACCGAGGCATCATCAAAGTTGTGGCAAACTTTAATGCGGTTGTGTAACCTTTATGGCATTATTTTTTTGTTTAGAATGAGTTTAAAAGTGTTTTGACCAATGTGGAGGTCGGCTATGAATTTAAGAAAGCAAAAGAAATTACCTCGTCCTCTGCCTTTTCCATCTTGGCGAGGAGTCCAACCCGAACTGCTTGAACAGCTTCTGCAATGTTTTTGAGGCTATTTTTCAGTTCCTAGAAAAAAAGTGGAGCATAGCAACAGCTGGGCCCTGACGACAGAGGAGATGGATGACACTTCTACGGTTAGCAGGAAGCGCCACTGACAGCAGAGTGTTTTGTGAAAGATTCTGCACTCTCTCAAATCGTTTTGCGTCAGACGCACACTGCGCGTTTGAAGAACTCATTAAAATTGCAGTCTCAGTCAGGTAATGCAAAATTTTACCTCAGAATTGCGTTGACCACCGGCTTGGAGTTCAGCCACTTCCTCTTCCAGATCCTTAAGTTTCTTCGACCTATTTTTCACAGATGGTAATCAAAATTGCCAAAGAACAAGTTGGAACAAAAAAGGAGCATGAAAAAGCCAAAATTTAAGACGAGTTTGTAAGGAAACAGGGGATGGAGAAACACTGCGTTAAAAAGCTATCACTGCTGCTTTGTAAAGTTGGGGTCTTGACTACGTAAAAAGTTAAAAAAGAGAACAGAAAATTCAGCATGAATTGAGAGCTTATTGCAGCGACACGTACACGTTGACACTTCCGGCGGGTGGCGTTGGGCCTTGGAGCGAACCCCGTTTCTAGAGCACAAACCAGTCGCACTCTTAAACCGGACAACTTCCAAACTCGCTGGAGTTAAGATTATTTGGAGGTCCTATTTAACGTCCCTTAATTGCTCATCTTCTCCATAGCTTCTTCCCTCAACCGAATCAGCCAGCATCGCACTCCGAGGCCGTTGTCTCCTCTTTCTTGTTTCACTTCCAGCCAACGTCAGGTTGGCCTGCCATCACCACATTTAATAGTTAACAACTGTCGTTGTCATGGTACCGTGATAGACATTATTTTGGAGCTAGGAAACCAATGGCCGAACAAAGAGGCAGCAGATAGCCTTTCAGTATGCTTAAAACACAAATTGCGCCTCTCACAACTAATGAAAGGTGAGTGTAAAAAAGGAGATTTATGACGAAGAACTGCAAATTAGGGCAGAAAATCGACGCCCCATTTGCTCACTTTACTCCACCCTTTTCGTTATTAGAGAATCATGTCGAGGACTCCGAGTTGGTCACACCAAATGGCAAAAAAATATGTCCCCGCAAACGCCCTACATCGACATCCCCATGAGCCAGTTGTTACCCTCAAACCTTCCAATGCTTCCTCAGGAGGCTTTAAGGGAACCCACGTAACCCGAATCGTAAAAAGACCCCACCGCCGTGTCACGCAGGCTGAACGAAAAATAGTTGGAAACAAGTTAAAATTGGCTAAGCTCGCTTTATCACCTAGTTTGTAGATTACATTTTGAAGTCTAACTGCAGTAGCCCTGTGCCACAAAGCAAGCTCATTTACAGGCGATGGCTAGTTCGAGGAAGGCAAAAACAGTTACCAGCTAACCAACCTGACTTGTTATTTGAGTCAGCCTCCCTTGAATCTCATCCATCTGCACTTGGAATTTCAGAGACGCCTCCTTGGTGCTCTCTTCGAGTTCCTGTAGTTTTGTCTGTATTGTAAAGATGTTTGATGTTCTACAAGATGTAATGCAGTCACTTGCGGCAGTCAAGTCGCGTTAAATGCTTCTGCTTTCCAAACTGACCTGGCTTTGATTTCTGCAGCAACAACACCTTTGAGCTGTTCCTTCTCATCTGAGAGGCCTTGCTCCAACACCTCAACAGCAAGATCTAGCTGTGTCAGGGAGCTGAGCAATTTCTTTTGGTGCGTCTACAAGAAAAGCCGACTGTCACTTAAACACGATATTGGCAGAAAACTAATCGGTGAAGAAGGCGAACCTGATGGTCCTGTCTAAGTTCGTGCATCTCCTCAGGGAGTTCTTTAGTCAGCTTCTTGAGTCCGTTTTCAACCTCCACCAATCTGGCCTCGTAGGCCGAATTTGCAACGTTGATGCGGCTCAGAGCCTTGGGAAGAGCAAACTTTGGCATGAAGAATAATGAAAATCCATTGATGATGAGGCGACTGCAATGACGTCCACCAAGACAGTGGCGAAGCTAACATCAAATGACTGTGACATCAAGCAAACAAAATATCCTGGAATCGATCTTGAAATTGGACCAAATTCCGGTAAACTTACCGCCTCCAAGTCCCTGCGAGAGTTGTTCAACTCACACTGCAACTTCTCCAGCGAATCTGTGACTCGGTGGTTAAGTTGATCCGACAAGTCCTCCAGTTCTGAATGTGCATCCTGCCTGAAGGGAAACAATGCGATTCCCGTGTTTTAAGCCAAAATCTAGTTTGAAAGTCCATTACTAGGCTAGACGGATGGTTAAAATCATACATCCAGCTTCCAATAAGCAAAAAAAATTGCAACACTTTTAACACAACCCGCTGTAAAATTCCCATTGATATGAAATGCAAAACATTCCTTAATAATTCCAAAAATTAAAGAAAGTTCATGACAATCAGGAAGCGTTAAGATTGCCGAGTGCCTATCATATTGTGAACTCCATTGGGACACAGAAAACTGCTGCTATGAGAGGTCGAAGAAAGCCCCTGCTTGAAACGAAATTGACCACTCCAAAGCTGTCAAGCTCGTGCCACTATCTTATTGTCTCCCATGAGCAGAGGAGTTCGGACTACCGCGGTTAGCCTATCGTCGGGACAGGACTAAGGGGAGGTCAGCTAAGGCGAGGAAGTATTTTGACCTACCGGCTCGAGATAATTTCCTGCGCATTGTTTTTAAGTTTTGACCGAAGTTCCGCAATTGTTTCCTTTGTATTTTTGTCAGTCTCGGACGATCGAGTTGCTTGATCTAGGAGGCTAGGGACAAGTACAAATGCTGTCATTCTCTAATTCCTTTCATTTTTCATTTCCAAAGAATCAAACTCACTTGTTTTGAACAGCATTTTCAAATCTCAGCCGATCACTCTGCAGCTGTTCCATTTTTCTCTCCATCTGTGCCACAGCGCCTTCTAGACGTTGCACAGCTCCGTCCGAGGAGCCACTGCCCCTAGCTTCAGGACCATCGCACTTGTTTGGAGAATTGCTCTTCGAATGAGCAAAATTACTAGACATCTCAGCTTGAAGGCAGCGCAGCTCACTGCGCAAAGTATTTTCCAGTTTTAAGTCAAAGTTTCTTAACTCTTGGTAGAGGTTTTGAATATCCAGCGCCTGACTACCACAGCGCGAGTTGACTGTTTGAAGGTCAGCGGAGAGCTTCTGAATTGCCCGGTCCATGTTGGACTGACTCGGTATGTCACCGATCGGCCTAGTAGGTAGTGAATATTCTGCTTTTATGATTCAATTTATCCAAAATCCCTTTTTTCAGAACCAACTTTCAAGATTACAAATAAAAGACCTGCAAAACATATAAGAAATGACAATTACCAAAAGAAAATACTAAGCGCCTCACCGCTAACTGTCGCGTCCACTACCTTCCGGCCCTTCTAAATGTTAGCAAAGAATAGGAAATACGAGCCGACTCGAACGTTACACAGACCACCTTGGCAAAAATTAAACGGCAATTTCAAGGAAATTTTATAAATATAGTACAACAAAGGTGGGCTTTTAATAAAACAAATTTTGTTTTCTCATTCGATTCTGGGGGATAATTTTCCTTCTGATAGCACATTAGGTGTCTTTAAGAGATCTATTTAGAACCTAACAAATTATACATAAATAGATAAGCGAATTCGATATCCTTCAAAGAATACGCAAAATCTGCATTATTTATAATAGCATAGGTAGTTTAGCATATTTGCGTAATTCTTTTGGCAAAAGTTCCCTAGCAAATCCTAAAAGTCAGATAAGTTTTTCAAAAATAAGTAGCAAGATCATACTAATAGCTTACAGTGTATTCGGAGGCCGTAGTTTGCTTTGTTGCGGAGGAGGCGTCAAATTAAGAGAAGCGTTCGAATCCAGGTTATCTTTAGGTCCCCTGCTGGATGGATGAGCTAGTAGCAAGAAGGTCAGCAAGTGTTTAATACTTATTTTGGATTTAAACAACACTACAGATTGGTCTAAGAATGTCTGCATACCAGAGAATCTGTTCCTACTGAGTTGTAACTCCTCTTTGAGATCGGAAATGTCGCGCAAAATCTGCTGGTTTAATTTTTCAGCTGCAGCCACGCGACCCTCAAGATCAGCCGTGTTAACAAGATGGCGAGTAGGCAAAGATGACATTGAACCATGCATATTAGGCGAAGCTTGAATCTTATCCTTGCTTATCACTGATTTATTTTGTCGTGGAGTTCTCTGCATTGGTACTTGGATATGTAAACGTTGGCTTTTAAGAAAAATATAATATCGCAAGTCCAAAATTAAGCGCGGATTCGCATTAAACGCAAGACGCTGATGAGCATAAGTAAAGCCTAATTTATTGCATCGGCAAAAAGTCCTAACGTCTATGATAATGCTTCATGCCAAAAGGCCCGTTCCTTAAGTTAAAGGATATTCAAACTAAAAACTTAAAATGTTTATGACTGCTTATAAATTAAAAACAGTGATCGCAATGGGTTCCCAAATCCTAACGCCTGCAAACAAGCTATACGTCACACGAATAAATAATCCAAAAGGCATTTTTCGAAACTAGCAGGCACTATGATAAGACCGTAAAAGCCACGAAGGTGACACGAAACTAAGCATGCGCAGAAAATTTGATCTACGCACTGATGACAAAGGTGCAAGGTTGTCATTCGCATCTGGTATTACAAAACAAATGTCAAAACTTATTACACAAAATAAGTCAAGTTCGTCACTGTGTACGATCAACAATTCAAATTATCATTTCATTGCAGAAGCTTCGCTATAAGTTTCCAATTGTGAGAACATAAAATTTCGACTTCTGGTTTTGGTATGAGTTGATGGCTATTTCAAATTGTAGGCTGTGAATTTACATGTAGCTAAACAGCATTACGAACGCATATTATGTCTAGTAACCGGGCAGTAAACACGCTTTGGAATCTGCATACCATACCAATGTCGTAGAATCAATAGATGTAATTTCGTTGGAGTTTCGACAGGTATTTGAAGACATACTTTTTGCATCCTGTGTAGCGCCTCACAAGTGCATATTAAGTAGAAGTTGTCATTAGGTTGAGCATAACATGCATTTGGAAGGTTGGGTGTTCAATATATTAGGCTTTTTATGTTAATCGACCTTATAGGTCAGGACGAGGGTATTAAAGCAAATGTCGTGCTGGAAGGCGAGACTCACGGCTCTTGGGTGCACTTGCCTCCCTTCCTCCATGCTATTCGTTTTGATCCCCTGTGATATTAGATGATACCCGTTTTAAGAAAACTAGCCTATGATGAGCGTAGGACTACAGAAAGGAACGGGTCTTGATCTGGCCCGAAGGATATCCCAAACCCACAAGAGCAGAACGGTAACAAAGTAACCTTTAGGCATCGGACTGCCACATAAACAAAGCTTTATATTCTAAACTTCATCTATAGCTTTGGAAAAGCATCAGTAGGGCTAAGACTGCATGTGTTCAAAGGTAAAGGTGAAAAGTCTGTAACTTTGGCTTTGCCAAAGTGCCAGCCCAAGCACACAAGTGTATGATATATACCAAAACCACCAACAGTCACGCAGATTATTACAGGAACAAAGTATTGCAGATCTTGTAATGCTTTGGATACATGTCAACCTTCGGGAATGGCGGCTACCTGGGCGGCCGTCTTGTTTCTGTCATGTACGCTAGCCTGCTTATAACCTCACAGCCTCATTTCTACATTTATTTTCTAAAAGAGTTTTCAGCCATGCCTACTGTCTTTTGCTACTAAATTGAATGTCTGTGGCCTTTATGCATAATACCTTTTCTAAGTTTATATTTGATGTAAGGATGAAAATATATCTTTGACATGGCCCAAAAGATCTGTGACATCACGAGTCTTGCCTTCGTGCAGTCTTAGGCGTTGGTTGGACTACATACTTGTAATTAGGGAGAGAAGTAGATAAGATTGTGCTTTGGTTTGGCGCTCGGGCCAGTTTTGGAAACCAAAAGCAATGTAACCGCCAGTCATACAGGCTGCGGTGGTCTGAGACCCTCGCTAGATAAAAGAAGGCATTCGGTTGGCTTGATAACATGCATTCTGGCGAAAAGGGAGGAACTATAACTTGGCTTAGCTCGAAGTTAGCTTAAGTGCACAAGTACTAAACGAATTCCAAGGAGACTGTCAGATAGTAGGTAAAATACTAAACTGAGTATTACATAGGCAGTCGAATTAGCATTATATTACCCTATTTCTTATCCTTTTTTACTACAAGCAAGAACTCAGTTTTCGTACTGCAATACTTTGCTTATGTAGCCATATGACGTTTGGCGGTCACTTTTGGATTTGTCTGGCCCTCGTGCACGTGAACTGGCCTCCGAGCCTCACTCAGGTCGATTTGCTCTGTTCCCTTCGGAATGAATGTATCCGGCCTCACTTACTGCCTTCTTCCACCCTATAGGAAGTCTCCGGACTCTACACTGGTGGCAGCGGTGAGCACGTACCGTTTGTTGCA